CCTCCCACTTCCCTGTCCCCTTTGCCCCTTTTCTTCCTATTTCACATTATCTATTATATCTTTTAGTCCTTATTTACACTTTCAGGTAATAATTTTAATTCTTAAATTCCTATTTGGAATCCTTGGTTAACTGCCACACAAAATCTGTTTTTACCATTTTTCCTTGGCTTTTGACTTTGGTTTGTCTTAAGATAACACAATTAAATGTGAATCTATATTCAAAGGAGCATTTGCTTCAGAAATTATTGTAAAATAACTCGCTGAGGTATATGGATGGTTTTTGGATTTTACGTACAGGAATGGGGCACTAGGAAAATCACAGTGTACCTTTCATTTTTCCCCAGACATTTTTGCAGATGGGAAATCAAGTTAAAATGAACAGAGGGCTGTTATGAAAGAAAACCAGTTGCTTGGGTGCTGCCTGTGGCCCGAGGCTGAGCACAGTGGGTGGGGAGGGCGCTTTCTCTCCTGCAGAGGCTTCGGGAACTCGGCTGGGTGCTCAGGCACGACCCCTGCCAGAAATTCTGCAAGGAACACTGAGGCCCAGACCATCAGTCACGGATTTGCCTTTTGATCTCGATCATTTGCATTCTTTTACTCAGGCCTTTTCCTCTACTCCCAGTGCTTTCTGGTCCTGTGGTCTCAGGTCAGGCAAAACCCACCCAAGGCAGCCCAGCCGGGGCTACATACCGTCTTCCTCGTAGAGAAGGCCCAGGTGCGCTTGCGCCTCTGCTTCTCTCTTCCCACCGTCAAATTTGATCAGTCGCGCAACATGAAAGCATCGTTCATAGAAGTGGTTCCTTACCCACTTGTCTTCAGGATTATTGAAGTAACAGGCCAGAACATACAAGTTATTATATACATCTTCAAGGTATCCTCCAAAGAGAAAAAACATCATAAACTGCATTAGAAAAATGTCTCAGGGCGCTTCCTTTGGAATAGTAAACTAATATTGTGACATTTGTTCCCTACTCTTTTTTTTTAAATATAGTTAAAGCCAGGTGTGGTGGACCATGCCTGTAATCCCAGAGCTCTGGGAGGCTAAGGGAGGAGGATCGCAAATTGGAGTCCAACCCGAGCAATTTAGGAACTTAGTGAGATTCTGTCTCAAAATGAAAAAAGCCCTGAGAATGTAGCTCAGTACAAAGGTCTTGAGTTCAAGTCCAAGTACACCCCTCTAAGTGATCGAATGTTTCACAAATCAAATCTAAATGCAGAAATTAAGCTATTTTAGCTATTAAAATAATTACATTAATTAAATAATGTCCACATAGTAAAGCAACAAAAGCCTTTCTGAAAACTTAGAACATTTTAGATATAGTATTTGGTTGAAGCAGAGGACTATAAAATATAGACAAGAATAATATCTGTTAGCAATGCATTTAATTATTTCAGAAGAAAGGAGAATTAGTATCATTGAATACTTTTTGTCACTGGAGGGTTGAAGAATATTTAGAAATTGCAGAGAAAACAATATTTCTTAACCATGGGGAAAATAATGTAAATGAAGAAAGCAGAAAAGATGGGGAAATACCTCTTCATTCTGAGGGGGGAAATCATATGTCTAATAAATGATAATCAGGATGGCCGTATAAGAGTGTTGTGATGTGAATCAATCTTACAAACCCCACTGCAGGAGTAAACTTGAACAGAAATGTTTAATGTGTTAAAAAATTTCTGCCTTAGTTTTATAAACCTCTTTTAAATGGTGAATATGAGCAAATTAAGAAACTTTATTATCATTTAGACATTTATTCTGAAAGCACATTTGTAAATATGACCGTTTCAGGATGTTTTCTCATAGCAACCATCACATACTGGACTTCACTGATGCCCATTGCTCTCTCCTACCAGAAAAGTCAGCAAGCATATTCCTGAAGGGCCACAGTGATGAAGAATATTGCCCATGAGTACACCTATGTGATTTAATTCAAAGTTTCAGAAAAAGTGGAGGGAGCTGAACACAACAAAAGGTAGCTGTCAAGAACTGTAAATAAGTCACTGAAGTGTTTCAAAGGAAATGTGTAAAACCCATGCCATTCCTTGCATATACTTCTTTTGTATGTTTCTCTCTCCCTTTCCTCCTTTCCTTCCTCGCCCCCCGCCCCCCAGCCCCGAGGTTGAACTCAGGGCCTTTGCACTGAGCTACATGCCCGTACCCTTTAAAATTTTTTTCTTTTGAGATAGCATCTTGTTAAATTGCTAAGTTACCCAGACTGGGGTTCAAGTCTGCAACCCTTCTGCCTTAGCTTCTCAGAATGCTGGGATTACTTCTTGAATATACATAGATTCAATCAAATATATTCAGACCACTAAGGTCTGATTTTTAATATTTTATATTCTTGGTCATATTTACTGGTTAGTTATCATTTTAATATGGCAATAAGTAAAACATATTGCATCCTCTATTTTAATAAAAGGTAGATATAAATTTTAACTATATATATATTCCCACAATACTTTCTCTATTTTTCATTAACTAAATATAAAAACATTCCCAACATTTTATAAAGTTTTTTTGAATACTGAATTTTACTAGATATGATCTCTCAAGATTTCATAGTTAAGTCTAATGGCTAAGTTATTTTTTGTAGCTGTGATCTGTACCCTTTACATTTTAAGTAGGTGTTTCTCCTTGTATGTGGACCCCTCCTTTGAATTGTCAGCAGGTATATTAAGAAGAGGAAAATCAGTTCTATGGTTGGTTTTTTATTTAGGTATTATGCTCCCTGATAAGGAAATTCCATGATGAAAAAAATTGGGAAAAGTTCTTGCTATTTTCCTGTTTGAGTGAAGCACACAATACACATTAGCATGTCGAAGGCTCTTGTAAGTCTTGCAGTAAAAAAACACACATAACTTCATGTTAGTTCACCTAATGTTTCCCCAACTTGCCTTAACAAACAGGTTTTTTTGTTTTATTTTTGTTTTTCTTTGCATTAAACCTATAATATCCTCTGGAACTTTAAGTAGAAATACTTCGGTATCATAAATATGTTATGAGAAAAAATTGCTATTCAATCTTTAACTATAATTTTAAAAGTTGAGTGTAAATAATGTTTGAATTATCTATTCATTTGGTTACCCATTACCATTACTGCCATCTCTTTCCCAGCCCCAGGGGGCTCAAGACCCTAATCATAACGTTATAGAGAGTAAAGAGATGATTCACAAGGATGGGGAACAAAAGAAATACAGTGTATCAGAGTCTAAGGGATGGTGCAACAAATGGAAAATAATCCAAAGAGCAATGACTGGCTTACTTGAAGCACAGTTTTGCTACAATGAGCAAGAGATGTTTTCTAAAGTAATTCGCACAATTCTAGGTTCCTGCTCTTAAGTCTCAAGAGAGAGAACTGACCCCAGGTGACCATTGTTAGTGCCACAGCTTTGATTAAATGAACTTCTCTGGGGCCCTAGAGTGATGGTCTTGTCAATGAGGAGCCATGAGGACATTTGGAGATACGTTTTTTCAGGATAATTGTCTCAGACCCATGATCATGTGGGAAGGAACCTGGAGACACCATGAACAGAGTTTTGTATTTTAGATTATATATACATAAATGCACATGTACACATATATTAAAACACAAAAACATATATGTTTTAAGATTTAAGATTAATTTGTTAATAAAAACAAATGTAAATATCCTATTTTCTGGGACATGCCTTTTTCTAGTTGTGATTTTCCTCAAAATTCATGTGTTGACTATGAAAAAATTATACAGGTTTTTAAAAAATAACCATATGAAAGACTGTGGGTTGATCAACTGAAGAATTTCCATTAATATTTTTTGTAATAAATCTTATTTTCTATATTTGAGCCAGGCAAAAGCCAGTGAATTTTGTAGGAGATAACTTTATAGAAGAATTATTCTGAGCAAGAGGTAATTTTGTCCTATATAACAAATGCAACTTTAGTTACTGCAAATAAATGATAAACCATTCAGTGAGGAAAATTTTTTCATTACTTTTACCACTTGCATAACAACTTTTTCTATTCTTAAGCTAGGACTTTATTAGCTTTTTAAATTGGAAAAGTATTTTTATTTATATGCATAGTTATTTTTCTTTAATAGAAGACTGGAAATTAAAATGTGTTCTACTTTAAAACAGGCTATTTAGCATTATTGGTCTTTTTAATGACAAAATACTCTTATGACAAGTTGATTCATTGATGATAACTTATGACAAGTCAGATATTTGGCTCATACTTTTGGAACTGAAATGAAAACCTCTATTTTAAACAGTGAATATGGTGAAATTCAACTTTAAAAAATGATTGATGGACAAATTTTGTTTTGATTAATTCTGCTCCCAGTGTAGATATCACTTCAGAATTTGAGGTTAACACTGGATTACAGTTTTTTTTTCAAGGCAAGCGCCGGAACCACTGAGCTAAATCCCCGGCCCTACAGGTTTTTTTTTTTTTTTTTTTTTTTTTTTTTAACAGAATAGCATATTTTATTTTACAAGAGTTAACTTCTTGAGAAATTATATAAATCACATTTTAAAGTTCACCAAAGGCCTATTTTTTAAGTCATCATGCAGTTAAATGTTTTTCATAATATAAATAATCACTTGCTATCCTACCCCCATTCACTCTGCCTTTGCTAGTGTTACTGCTCACGTTTTTGTATGCTTTGTGTTTTTAAGTCAGGTCACAGCCTGATGGGAAACATGCATTGGCTCCACCAGAGAAGCTAAAAGACTTCTGCTGTCCCTCGCTGCTGTGTCCATGTCCTCCTCAGTTTTCTCCATGGTAACCAGAATAATGAAAATGTCCCTCATATTCATACCCTACAAAGCCGTGAAATGAAAGCTACATGTTGGCAAGACTTGGGCTTTTTGTTTTGTTTTTGAGTCCTGTGGTATTTTCACTCAGAACATTGAGGAAAAGAATAATTGAGAACACCAAATTGACACACCAAATTCTAGAATTTCCTTTTTTCCCTTTTCAGTGTAAATAGCCAATTCCTTAGTGGTCACTAGAAATGAAGAAATACAGGGGGAGGAGGAAGAGAAAGAAATCCAGAAAGAGGCACCAAAACGCAGTGCTAAGGAATTATTCCCCCTTCCTCTTTAGCACAATAGAGTAACCCAGCAAAACAGCCTCTGCTGTATCTCAAAATGACTCGAAAAGAAGAATATGAAACTCCTAACACATAAAAGTGATTGATGGTTGAAGAGATGAAAATGCTTACTACCCTGGCTTGATTATTACGCATTGTATACATGTATCAAATTACGATAATGTACCTCATAGAGAGATACAAATTAAAATGGTCAGTTCCTAACACATAATGAAGAAATACTTGTGACAACAATATCCATATAATTATAGTAAAGGTTAAAATATTTTGATACTTAAAATATATATTGACTTCCTGGAAAATATTAGATTGTGCAAAAAAGAGACTTATTAGAAACGACTTCATGGAAAATATAAGATTAACAATTTTAATCACAACTGTGAATTGCAGGCATTTCAATGTGTTTTTATTATTCGCTCACATAAATTCTGAGATTCCTATCAGTAGGATTTCATAGCATTTTCAAAGCTCATTATATAAAAGATAGGAAATCAGTGTACTTTGCAAGTGCCAGTAACCTTCAAAATATGTCCTCCGTGCAAGTCAGTGTTCAGGTAACACACAGGAAATTGATGTACAGGTTTGTAATTAGTGATGGGAAGGATTTAAACCGTCAGGAAGTCCTGGAGACGTTGTCTTCCCAGGCTTAAGATGACAAACCAGAGGCAGCCATGTGCCTCAGATTTCCCTCTCCTTTCTTCCATAAATTCGCTTAACTGACCAGGTACTCTGCTAAGTCGTCTTACTGTTTCAAATCCACACCTGAAACAACTAGGAATGTTCCCTGGGTACTACATTCGGCCTACCCTGTTGCCTTCCCTGCCTCCACTTACCTTTCTGCTCGGCGGCCTCGGCTCTGGTCAGGTAGTGGTAGAGGAAATTCAGTTTGTCCGGCTGCTGCTCCAGAGGCTTCTGCAACCAAAGGACCGACCTCACCCTCGCTGCCTCCCTCAGCGAGTCCCATTGCTCCATCAGAGTGAAGACTTCCGCGAAGGACTTGTGGTAGCCATCTCGCAGCATGTGCACGCAGATGTTCTTCTTGTACGAGTTCCTGTGACTGGGGAGAAGAACCAGGACACGAAAAGCTTCATTCTCGTCCTTTCAATCCCTGAGCTGTGTTCATTCTCCAATAATTACAGGGTGAACTGCATTTCTTTTTTTCCCTTTCGGTGAAAGCACTAAAAACTATCAAAAGATCTTTGCTTCAAACACTTAATTGAACAACGTCAGTTTAATGAAAAATGCCAAGAGCTATCTACATATAGTAAGTTTAAAGGAATTAATCTATCAGTTCCAGAGCTGAGCTAGCTTTGATAAGGACAAATAAGGTAGTTGGACAGATAATGTTCAAGAATACTTGATACACCAGCCTCCCACCAAAAGCCAACCAACCAACCGGTCAAAACTCTCAAGAAGGTAAGCAAGGTCAAACTTGCTATTTAATATCAAAGCATTATGTTTTCTCTAGTAGATCATTTCATTATATGTTCTGGGAGTTCATCATTCATTCAATCATGAAGAAAATATTTATTGAAATCTATTACTAAATATAATTATTTTCAGTTAGAATTAAGATAATGGTTTGTTAGACTAATAATTCACTGCTTAATTTCGGCATGTGGAAGGCTGAGGAAGGTGGGTCACTTGAGTCCAGGAGTTTGAGAACAGCCTAGGCAACTTCATAAGATCTGATCTCAACAAACAAAAACAAAGACCAAAACCCCCAAAATCTGCTTACATCTAATTTCAATAAAAAACAATGTGCAAGAAGATCAGTGAAGTGGCATATGAGTATTCCATTTATCCATTCACAAAATTGCTATTGTATTTCAATTGTTATCCACTGTTCCAGTCTAAATAGATTCAGTGCTTTGTGAAGTCTGCCTTGTAGTGGGAGAAAACAACCCACAATTAAAACAGACAAATGATAAATAATGTCTGGAAATTTGTATACGAGAAGTAAAGACAACTAGGAGATAATAGATGTAGGTTGGCTATTATTTCATCAAAGGATAATCAAATGGATAATCAAGATATGGTTTGTATTAATTATTTTACATTTTTAGAAGAGGAGACAATTCGACATTTAGAATAACTGATATGATGTCATAGTACTAGAATAAAAACTTCAGTGTGGAGGGAGAAGAGATCAAAATTAAATACTCAAGGTTGAGCCCAGTTTGACCTAACTTTCCTAGATTTGACTTATTTGTAAAATCTATATACATTAGCATATGCCCTCCCTACACCACAGGATTCTTCTAGGAACCAAATGAAATTGTTTGTGCAAAAATACTCTAGGAAATGTGAGACCTTATGCTACTAGTTTTCAGCTCTTGGCTATGCATTAGATTTATCTATAGTGTCAAAAATAAAACAAGACAAAGCAAAACAAAACTGTCTTGGTTCCATCTGCCCAGAATTTCTTATTCCATGGATTCACTTAGGTACAGGGCAAAGAGTGATCAGGAGGAGAGTGATGAAGTAGGAAATTGGTTTTTTGTTTTGTTTTATTTTTTCTTTTATAGCAGGGTCCAGACCATTGAAGAGACCTCTAGGCAAAGCAATGGTGAGAAGTCTAGGCTCCAAGCAAGGAGCGATGGGTGCCACTGGGGAGTCTGATGGGATGTGGCTGCATTGTGGAAAAAACCCCTGGAAGGAGTGCCGCTCCAAACTGCAGCCTTCCCCCAACTGACAGACAAGTTATTATAGGACCAGCCCATAAAGAGAATAAAACAAGTACATTTGTAAGCCAGAAGTCAAAATCCACTGTTGGGCACAAGACCAGGAAGTATTCAAAGTGGGGAAGAGAAGAGGAATAACAGTTGTTTGATCCTCTCAATGAGGTAGAGGAGCAAAGGGTGGAGAAGCAGGTGGCAAAGTGCTGCAAAGGGCCATGTCCTTTCTTCCCTTCACTCCAGGCAAATACCAGAGGGCTCACAGAATAGAGCAAGCCAACATCATGTGAAATCCAGTGGGCTCTAAAAGTGGAAGATGTTTGTAACCTGCTTCCCATCCGGACTCCTTGAAGGCAGGAAGATAAGCAACATCCCCCTGGCTACCTCCTCCTACATAAGGCATGGAAAGGCAGCAAACAATCAAAGGCTTCTAGGGAGAAGAGGACAAGAAGCAGCCCTATAATTTCCACAGTCCCTGAAGAGAATGACACAATATTCCAGCAGGCTGCACATGTGACATAAAAATTCTGGAAAGAGAGGGCCCATGTGCTTCCACTGTATTATCTGGCCACAGGGAGAGGATGTGCTGAGAGGTTGGTTAGAGGCTGCCCCCTGGGAATGAAGGAAGACACAGATATAATTGAAATGAGGCACGCTGAGCAGCTCTGGGAGGGTTTTAGCCAGCATATTTCCAGACAGAGGCAAGAACAAGGTTGGGTCAAATGCACCAGAGATGGTCACTGTTTAGGACCCTACAGGATAGGACTGCATTCAGCTGTATCAGAGAGAACTACTTGTTTCACAGTGTGACAAATAAAGGCTTCAATTTTTTAAGCTAAAGTTAGGCAGCTCAGGGCCTGTATCAGTGATTGAACAACCTCAAGACTGATGTCTCTGTGATTATCATGACCTGTGTCTCTTGCTTGTCCCCTGCTGTCACTATAAGCCTGCCACAGCTCCAAACATCATGCCCTCCTTCAAGGGAAGAAGAAAGGGGAACATGGGGCGACACTGGCTGTTTCCTTTTCCTTAATTTCACAGAAAACAAAACCATTCCTGCAACTACTAGTTGATTTCCACTTTGGTTCTGTTGGCCAGAAATCTGTCACATGCCACTTTCCCTTGCTGCAAGGAGTCTGGAAGCACAAATACATGCCTGATCTTGGGTACATTGCTGCCCAAGTAAAACTGGAGTTATATTACCAAAGAAGATAAAAGGACTGGAAACTGGGCAGGCGAATGCAGTGACAATCACAAGGTCCTAGTTTATGATCTGAAACTAGCTTCTGATATACCCTCTTTCCCCTTTTTCCCCAGATTAGCCAGATAAAATGAAGGATGCGCAGTTACATTGAATATCAGATAACCAACAAATGATTATTTTTTGTATTAGAGTGCCCCAAGTACTGCATGGGGCATACTTAATGCTAAAAAATTTCTGTTCTTTTGAAAGTGAAATTCAATTCTCTATCATGCATTTTTAGTTACTAAGTCTAGAAACACCCTCAGCTCCCACCAGCAAAGTGCTGTTTCTATATAGGAAAAGAGGATGAAAGGAAGGGGTATTAGAATCTCGAGCAACCTGAGAAATTGCCAGATTGGACTGACTTTACCTGAGAGTGACAAGATTGGATTTTTACACTAGGGAGGATCAAGGCTCAGGGCCAGGAATTAAAATTAAGTTACAAAACATAAAGACTTTCCACTTAGCATCCTTGAGCTTAGGACTCTGAAATTCACATCTGATGCAACAGAAAGGATGGAAGGAAGGAACTGGGAGCAGAGAGAAGAGATGGAGGTGCCAGGGATTCTGGAAAGGAGAGGCAGTGAGGGCCGGGGGCAGGAGGAAAGACAAGGGATGGACAGAAGTAAGTGGACCCAGAGCATATTTAGAAGATAAATCCATCCATTACTCAGTGAATAGATGAATGTTGGGAGTGAAGGACAGGGAGAAGCCAGGATGAAAGCCAGGATTTTGGACTGGACGATAGGTAACTTGTAATAGGCAGAAGAGGAGAATGCAAAAGGAGGAACAGGCTTGAGGAAAATGATGAGTTTGAGTTCAGATAACTTGAATTTGGGGAGTCTGACAGAACATCCCAATTGCTATCCCAGGATGCAGTTTAGAGGGGAAGATGAGGCCTCAGGGAGAAGGGCCTGGAAATCCAGGCTTGCCTCAAACCAGCAAAGCCACTTTTGCACATTTATGCGTTAGCCACCTGCATATTTTCCTAGGAGAGCAGAAAGCCCAGAGGGCAAAATTTTTAAACAATATAGATTACAAATAAAACATTGAGTTTAAACAATAAAAAATAAACAGTAGACATAGCAGTTGAGAAATCATCCCGGTTCTAATCTCTATTGGAACAGAAACATAGAAAATGATTCTACGGGCCTTTCTTTATTTTCGCCACCTCTGGCTCAGCTGCATAGGGTACCAGTCCCTCAGGTGACAGCAGTCCAGAGTACTATGGAAATAACCAGTCCCGCGTTGCATGTAGCCTTGGTAGGATGGGAATTCGAGGATTCTGCATCTAAGAGGGGAGCTACACGCTCAAACTAGGCAAGCTGGTCTTCCTCCCAGGATTATGAAAGCTGAGGCAAGCAATACCCGATGGAGGAGGCACTCTGAGGCAGCCGCTTCTGCCCAAGCCTGTTGAGCCTTTCTTGCTACCTACATCCACTCAACGGCCCCGCATCTTGTCCTTTTCATTTGAACCAGCTTTTCCCTAATTCTACCAGATCCCTAATATCATTTCAATAAATCATTTCTACTTTATTTGCTCAGGACCAATTTCTGCTGCCTGTGACCAAAGAGCACTAATTGATTTGGAAGTGGGAGGTCTAAGATTGTTTCCAGGACATCTTTTAGCTTCAGAACATCCAGGATATATAACTAACAACACACTTTTAAATTTCGAGTAATTTTTTCTAAGTGGTCTTTTTTTGCAGAAAATATTCCAAACAGAAATATATTTAAAGGGGCTGGGGATGGAGCTCAGTGGAGCCACACCTGCCTGGCAAGCGCAAGGTCCTGAGTTCGATCTATGGTGCCAGGGGCGGGGGGGGGATATATTTAAATATGCATATGTAACTATGCTGACATTGTCTCTATTTTTTCCCTCATAAGTATGCGTGCATATGAATATGCCACTAAGTAAGCCTCACTATTAATATGTGAGAGCAAGCAAAAGCAATCGTAGTGATCTGGTAAATAAGTTCCTATTTAAGCCTTCATAGTTCATATAAATTATTTAGCTAGACAAATCTTCATTTCTTAAAATGAATTCGGTATGTGAATCTCCGTCATTATATTTGAACTTTTTGTATTTAACATAACCATAGCCAAAGTTCACTTAATTAATGGTAAGGAATTTTT